CCGCGGCGACGTCCCAAACGATGATGCTTGCATCCTGTGAAGCCGACACCAAGACCTCTTTGCCGTGTAGCGTGAATGCTATGACGCCCTTGACAAAGTCGCTGTGGCCTTGGAAGCGCTTGGCGGGCTTGCGCGTAGAGAGGGTCCATGACCAGATAGACTTGTCCCAGCACCCCGCAAATAGCGTGTCGGATTTTGGGGAAACGGCAACGGACGTGAGAGGGGCTACGGGCCCTGTGAAGGTGGCAGCGACCTTATTAGTCTACAAGGGGAGCTGTCAGCGATGACCTCATAGCTGAAGTGAAGCCACGAGGCGGCTGAGAAACGGAGGTCTGACCGACTTCAATGTTGATACGCTTCACGTTGCCGGCTGCTTCGGCAACGTAGATGTGATTCTCATCGTGCGGGTCCGCGGTGAGTGCGAGGATCTTGGAGGGGAGCTTGAGGGGGTTGCCCTTGGTGTTCTTGGACTTGGCAGCCTTGCGAGCTGTCTCCTCGAGAGAGGAGCTACATGCTATCAGCTAAAGTAAAGGAAGATGGATGAAGATGGATGGAAGCCCATACGTCGTCTGGAAGTAGTGACCTGGATCGTTGGAGCGCGACATGATATAGGGTGGGAGGAGCGGTGACGGCCGGCAGGATTGTGTGACGGGCTGTGGGTCACGTTGGGCGTGTGACCAGTGACCCCGCTATTATGACTCCGTCCGTGGCCCGAAAGAAGCCTCCAGTAGCGGCCACATCACCGAGCTACCTCATGCAAGGGCGAAACTAAGCAGGTGACAGTACACGTTGGTATCAAGACGAAACTCGACACAGTTACAACGCAATGTAAATTCTTACGACTCTGACTATGCCCAAGGCAGCACCTGGGCAGCATCTCCGTCTTTAACACGTGATCGCTCGAGCTCATTGTTGACATGCAACCGAAACCACCGTACCGGAATCGAGGGAAGGAAGCTACTCGAAACTTGGACATTCGATAGACTCCTAGTTCGTTTATTCTGGGCGGATGATTAGTTCATGCCCCTGAATGGATGACGTAGCCTTCCCAGCTTCTAGCAGACCAGTCTCATCACCAAGAAGCACACAAAGACATTGATAACATAATAAATTTCATTTCGTCTCGTAGCGAGCAAGGATATGGTATTAAATGCTCTCGGATGTACTGAAGACAATACCCAAAACGCCATATAGATCATAAACAAAGGAAATCGTGTATAGTCATGTATGTGTCGTGTGAGTCGAGCAGCGAAGCTCTTTCTGTAAAGCATGTGTAATGCAATCGTAAAGGTCGTTAAATGCGTTGTTCGTAAGAGTGAGGCGGTTATCCAAAACAGCGCCCATCATAACACTCATCAGGGGGGGATATCTCAAAAAGACATTCCAAGGCACGTCTCATTACTTTTGTGGATCATAGTCCAGCAAAATGCGCCGAAAGACCAAATCATCTGCGATGCAATCATAAAATCGTGAGCGTGAGCGTGAGTATGGGTGTGCGTGCACATATAGTACAAGGTCGTGGTGTCGTAGTGTCGTGGTCGTTAAAAGGTTGGGTGGCCAGCAGAGGCACTGGCTGCGAAGTCGCGGATCGCCCATCGCCAGCCGCCTCGGTGTTCGCCGTTGTCGCGAAGGCCGCCGACCCAGCCTTCGACGCGTCGTCGCCAGATAGCTTCTTCGTCTTTCTGTCGCCGGATGAAGCCAGGGCCGACATCGAACTCCTCACCCACAAAGGTTGGGTCATCGGGGTTTGGTGTGCCAGTACCGCCCACGCCATTGCCACCGGCGACACTCTCATTGTCTTTGAGGTCGTCGAGGCCAGCGAATGGGTCTTCGTCTTCGTCCACTTCTGAAGGCGATCCAATGTCGTTCGATGGTCGAGGCGCCTTGAGCCAGGTCATCTTGACAGGATCGAACACCATGCGGCCCTCGTACTGGACTTGGCGTGGAACAGATATTTGGGAGATCAAAGCAGGGCGTGGTGGAGACGGTACTGGGGCGGGCGCTGGTGGCTGAGCCAGCTTGGCCGCTCGCGACGAGAAGCTCCTCTTTTCTTGGCCGGCATGAATGGACGAAAGGGCAATGTGCGAGATCGATTGTGAACGATCATGGCTGCGGCTCATCTGGTTTCCGGGCGGGGCAAAGGTAGGCGTGCTCGCCGTGGTCAGGGCGAGGGTCGTAGTGGAAGTATTAGGGTGTGAGAACGAAACAAGGGCTTCCTCGTTTCCTTCCCAACGTTGCAAAGTTGGGTTGTAAATCATACCTTTCTCGTCTACATAGTGGTCAGTAGGAGCTGGGACGTAATGGTGGGGTATTGTACTTTGTGTGTAGGGCTGCGTCATCTGCCTGATCAACTGCGGCTTCTGTCCTGAGCCTTTCTTCCTGTGAGCAGATGGACTGGTATGAGGGCTACGAGCGGCCACTTGGGCAGCCCAGCTAACGGGCCTGGAGGAAATGGGACCTTCTGCTCGAGACCTCGTACCTGCCAAGCGCTGCTCACGTGCGTTCCTGCTTGCTGCGGTGTCGCGAGCAAAGCGAGGAGTGTGGTCCATCTTGGGAGGACTACGCGGAGTCTGGGGCAGAGGCGTCGCCATGCGATCAGGCATCGGCAGACGTGAGTTGCTCGGCTGGTGGCGCAGCGACTTGTTGCTGGCGACATTGCGCGGCACCTTTTCGAATTGCTTCTCTTTGGAAGCGGAAGTAGGCAAGTCATCGAACAGGTCGAGCTCATGGCCGTCGCCAAAGTTTCGCTTGCGCTGAGGCTGTGTCAGCTTCTTTGGGGGTGGATGACGTGCAAGGGCAGAGGGAGCCTGATCACGTCTCACCCCAGCACGGCTAGGCGTCTCGTTGTGGCCACCGCCAGATAGGCGCGAGTAGGAGCGCATCGAGGGAGACTGCGGTCGGCGAGGGTCAGAGTCGCGGCGAAGGTGGGCTTGCGAAGTGCTCTTGGACATGACGTGGTGCGATTGGGAAGAGGCCCCGCCAGCAGGGAGGAATGGCATGCGTGGTGGCTGACTGGTGTTGTTGTTGCGGAGGACAGGAGCAGAGCGCTTCGCGCGGAGCAGCTGTGCGCTGGTAGTGGTAGGCATGGTCCGAGTCGAGTTCGAAGTGGACGCGCCGCTCTCGTACACAGGGGTAAGCCTGGTCCGACTCGCGATGGAGGGCAGGGGCCTGGGTATCCGCGAGGTAGTGGGTCTGTCGGTGAAGGTGATGGTAGTAGCGGGACGAGCAGCGTGTGGGGCGGTGGTCTTGGTCGCGGGCTTCTTGACGACAATGTTCTTGTTGAGCGTCAGCTTCTGGCGGTCCAGGATCTCGCCATTGCCAAAGTCGAAGCCATCCTCAAAGTCCTCCTCTTGGACCACGGGCTTGGCTTTGGGCGATGGTGCCAGTGCCTTGGGGCTCATAGGCGTGGGGCTGCTGAAGGGGGAAGGAGATAATGGTGCAGCAATGGGTGATTGAGGCGGCGATTGAAACGGCTTCTGGGTAGGGACCGAGGTGGTTTGTGTGGGCTGCGTCGGCGTGAGGGACTGCTCACGCAATGGCAGCGGTGGAAGGAGCGATGGCTCTGCGGCCGGTGGTGCTGGTGGTTGCTCGGCCTTCTTGAGCTTGTCCAGACGCGCGCTGAAGTCCATGGGCTCGGTCGGCAGCACGAGGCCGCCCAGGTCGTCGTCTTCGCTCTCCATGGTCATGATGCTGCCCAGGCTGGGGCTCATGGCGGACACGGACGAGCTGCGTGCACCGCGGGTGCCCTGTCGCGTGCCTGCGAAGCGGATGCCGAGCGAGCCCTCGCCCCAGTCGAAGTCATCGTCCTCTTCCGCCGGCGTGCGTGGCTTGGGCGCCTTCAGCTTCAGTCCTTCCTTCGCATTGGTGGGCAGCTCGAGGTCGTTGCCCCAGTCGTCGTCGACCTCGATCTTCTTGGTCGACTTCTTCTTGCCCAGCCTCTTGATTGAGCCGCCGAGGAGCGCCGACGATGGCACGCTCGTGGGGATGGGGATGCCGGCCTGCTTCGCGGCGGTCTTGATGGCGGAGGTGTTGGTTGCTTGGTCGCCTGGCGTGATCAGAATCTGCCAGTCGTCATTGGATTCGGTCTCGGAGCGGACGCTCATGCGCGAAGAGAGTGAATGGACGGTCGAGTTCTTGAACAGGAGGCCGTCGGAGCGGTCGTCGAAGTCGCCGTCGTCCCATGTCTCCATCTGGGTCGACTGCGAGGTGATGGAGGCGATGCGCGCCGCGAAGGAGCGGTTGTTGGCCGCCATGCTCGGTGGAGCTGTCGCGCGGGTATCGCAGGTGCGGTGTAAGGTGGGTGTGCAGGATCTTCGCGCGAGGTACTGAGGTGGTTGGGCTGTGGGCCGGCGAGGGTCGTCTGGCACCGCTTGCAGGTTCCTGCAGGGCTACGCGAAGCACAAAGGCGGTAAGTAGACAAAGGCCGGTCTGCTAGGTGGCCCGCACGCTAGGCCACGCGTGTCGGTAAGAATAACACACTCCGCACCCCTGCAGCAAGGGCGACGATGACGGCGATGGGGACAGAAGTACAGCTGTCGTGGGAGCCTACATATGCAGGAACAATGCAGCCAGACATAACTCGGAGACGCTGCCTATGTATATACCACACCCTGTATACCACCCATGTTTGTTTCTGCTCCCCATCAGAGCGACTGGTGCGGATCGCGCTCGATTCGCGTCCCGGGCGGATGCCTGAACCACAACAAACACTAAACCTTCACCCCAGCGGGTGCTGCCTGCGACGGCACCACCCACCAGGGCACCACCACCACGCGAGTGACATTGCTATCTACATACAAATATAACCTCGTGTGCCTGCCGTCTCAGGTAGACGTGGTTCAGGTTACGGTTTCAATAGATTCCCTACCACGTGAAACGCCCGGTACCTGTTCCTGGACGCTCTCACTATCGCGACTAGCCTCCCTGGCCACACCATCACAAACCTTCCCAACTGGGCTCCCTCCCGCAGTCCCGCCTAGCTCGTGCACACCATCGCAGCAATGTCGAGCCGCTATATTTTGCCAGTCGAGCCTGCGGATGGCCGCGGCGAGACCGTCGTCATCGAAGTGCTGCAGCAGGGCAGCCACCCTCTGGACGTCAGATTGGTGGGCTGCGAGGGCGAAACCCCATATGTGACTTCGAGTAAGACAGCATCCACAGCACGTCTGTGTTTCGCCATCTGACGCGCCCCAGTCACGCACCGCAATCTCGCCAGTCTCAAGCACAAATTCAAGGGCAGCGACGACGAGTGGGCCGCCGTCGTGTCTCATTTTCTGCTCCAGCAACAGCCCGAAATCGGCCAGACCGACATCTTGGACGGTGTTCGCATGGTCTACACTTTGAAAAACAAGAACCTAGAACTTTCTTTTCGCCAGGACGTTGGGAACATCAAGGTGGGCAGCATTGTGCTCTCCAAGATAAATTCATCTGATGTGTGTAGGTCACGCTGGGTGAGATTGTCCTTCCAGAAGACGATGAGTTTGAGTTCAACCCGTTTGAGTGGGCGCAGGCATCAGCCATGGCGCACGCCAAAACGTTGCAGCAGGTGGTCAACTTGAAAGACCAAGTCAAGAGCGAGCAACACACCCTCGCCAAACTCAATGCGCAACTGGATGACTTCATCAAAACTAAGAATGACACCGAGACGGCCATGCTCCAGCAGTTCATGCAACTGCTAAACGAGAAGAAGCGGAAGATCCGGGACCAGAGTCGTCTGCTAGCTGGCGCAAAAGTCGACAATCCCACAGGTTAGTAAGGCGTCGTTGTGACGTAGTCTTATATTGACAATATCTAGCGGCGGCCGTACAGTCGACCCGAGCAGACACCAAGACTCGCAAACCAGGCGCATCGCGAACGTCGAAGCGTAAAGCGCCGGCACAAGCAGCCGAGCCAGAGGCAACTCCAGATGCAGACAGCGACCAGATGGAGATCGAAGAGCAGGACGACGAGGAAATGCCCGAACCCATGACCCCAGAGCAGTCCGACAATGAAACAGACGAGGAGGATGAACCTTTACCACACCCCAGAGGCAGGTCATCCGAGACGCTGAGAGCAAGTTCTGTTGCACAGAGTTCCAGAAGTGAAGCCACGGGGAGCAAGGGTGCACCACCACCTCGAACACTTCCCTTCCAGAAGAGAATGACGCGAATTGATAATGTACAGAAACAGCCCTCTCCAGCAGCAGCAACAACAGCAGCGGACGACGACGACGATGACGAGACAGACGATGAGGAGCTGTAGCACAGAAGCTGACTGTGTTTCACTGCATTAGTTTGGGTGAAACCACCTCTACCAAACTTCTCGAAAGCCGCCGCGTGGTTCCCGTATTCCTTTTGGCGAGACTTCGGGAGACGACCTGCATCGAGAAACTCTAATTAATGCCATGAAGTGCATTTTGGTTCAGAAATCAGACTTTGGAATTATCGCCGACACGTGCTTCCTTCTGCCGGTGGTGTGGGTGATGGTGTGAAACGGGATCTGCAACCTCCTTAGTCCAAACATCAATAGTCCTAATTTTGACAGAATGCGCGACGTGGAATCTGTCATGACTGTGAGAAGTAAGACATGGCTGGACCCTTTGTAGGTTGTCCCGGTAGCAGCCCGGTGCTCATCTATGTAATGCGATGGACACATGGATGCGTGGAGTCGGATCGCGTTGATGTCATCCATGCCGATCACTCGGGACCACTGAATAACAGGGACGTCCCGAGCAGCCGCGTGGAAACAAATCAAGGCTTGAAGTGAATAAGACTCGAGTTCCCGCGCGATGAATGCGATGGAAGAATGCTGCCCAAGTTAGATTGTAGTCAAGACGATCTGCGTATGCCAGCGATGTGGTGCCTTCGGAGCAAAGAGCAGCCAATGGACGATGCAGGCGTCTCCGGCAGCCAGGGCTGAAGCGCGCGGGAGAAGCCTCCCGCCAAGCCATGTCCACCTCGACATGTCGCCCTTGACCGCAGCGCTGTCGCAAACACGAGATTGCCGTTTTTCTGGCCTCACGTACCGGTCGCTGCGCTATCATAGATACGGCGCGCGAGCGATGTCCTATTCCCGCCCGAGCGACCAGAGGTAGCAGCGCCCTCAGTCTGAGTGAGTGAGAGAGGAGAGCCCGCGCTATCCACATGCGCGCTCACGTGGGTCTATTGTACTGACGACATGTGAAGAGAAAGCGATTGTCGCCCTGCTATTGTCCACGCGCGTCCCGACTCGATTCCGCCCTCACACCGCGTCCACGGCGCTGCCATCACCCCATCCCCGCTCGAGCGCCTCACCTAATGCTCCTCCACCTCCACACGTCGTTCCACTGCACCTACCGCCGTCGGCCCGCGACACCGCTGCTATACGCGACCGACTGCACGCCCGAGACCCTGAGGTAACACGCCATGTCGGGCCCAGACCAACCTGAGCCCATCGTGGATACGACGCGATCCCTCAAGCGCAAGCAGCTTCCCGCCGACGACCAAGGCGAGCTCGACGCCCTCGACAGCATCTTCAAGCGCATCAAGACGGCGGTCCCGCGCACACCATATATACTTTCCACGCCATCCTTACATCCGTACCGGTACTACTCGCAACAACAAGCCAACGCCTGGAAGCTGGGAAGGCTATTCAAGTCGGAGGAGGAGCACCTGCAGTACCGGACATATCTATATCGGGAGCCGTGTCAGGATTGCTTCGAGCTGCAGGCGGGAGAAGACGATGAGCCTGAGCCCGAACCGCCACACTCACAGGCCGCGAATGGCCAGCCAGCGAAGAAGAAACCCAATCTCTCAGCCTTCAAGGTCAAACAAGCGAACGGTCCCAACACTCCCAGCGTCAAGATCAGCTCGCCCAGTTCTGCGCCGGATAAGAAACAGGCGAATGGGGCCAGCAAGTCTGAAAAACTGTCTGCGCCGTCCCAAAAGACTGAGACCAAGTCGCCGAAGCCGTGGGTACGCCGCCCTATACTTTATTCAATTACTGACAGTAGCAGATCCTCTGGTGCTACACGCGACGAGCATCCCATCCGGAAAGCCGACAGAGGCGCCCCTTCTTCAAATCGGCCGCGAGCCCCTTCCACAACGAAGACCGAGACAATCAGCTCCAAGGGCAAGATCGAAAAGTCGGACCCTTCCAACTCAACACCACACGGCCTACCTCCGCTGCTTTCGCCAGTACACGAACCAATGGGCAACCCATACGGTCTCCCGAATATCTTATCTCCAACCCTCCCATCAAACATACAGGCCGAGCTCGACAGAATGGAAGTACAGCGGAAGCGCACAGATTCAGACGCATCTGTGTCATCATCAGATCGCAAGAGTCAGACACTTGCTGTGCCACCCAGCGGATCTCAACAGTCCAACGGTACACCAAAGTCAGAGAACCGAGCGCGCTCAGTTTCCATCAACGGCAACGGCAAATCGCCCAACCCCGAACCAGTCAGTCAAGTCGAACAAACAGATTCTAGTATGGTAGTTAAGCTGAAATTCTCAAAGACCAAGGCGCCTGTCGTTGGCCAGATTCTCCGCCTACCATCGAAACGAGCGAATGCCGAGAAGAAGGAGCGCAGCGATACCTCCAAGGCGACTTCTATGGCAGACATGCAGCCCAAAGTCACGGATCCGCCTGTCATTAAGAAGAAGGCAATTCCCAAGGTCGCTGCACGACAAACTACAACGCCATCAAAAGTTCCTGAGAAGCGGCCGCGCGCGGAAGAGGAGACGACATTGGCGGTACCGCCCACTAAGCGACCCAGAGCAGGCTCAACCCAGGACCGGCCCATTACCCCTCTCCAAAACAGCCAGACGCAATACGCAACCCCTAAGAAGGACCTCAAGTCAGTCAACATGCTACGAACCCAGTCTTCCGAGAGCAATGACGCAACGCCTGGCCGGTCTGGTGCAACCCCAGCCGGCGTGAAGCCTACATCTGCTCCTCTTAACAACAAGAAGCAGGCAGACATCTCGCTGCTTGGGCATACGTCGGCAAGGTGGAATCAAATGGGTAGAGCCCTTAAGCATGAAGCCACCAAGATCCTCACCAGCGGCAAGATTTCGAAACAGGATGAGAAGAGAGCTGCAGTTACTAACCTGGAGTGTATCCTGTAAGTTCAAGACCCAACACTCAGCTATACATTATGAACCCCCACTAACACCCACCCAGCGCCTACATGGCCGCCTACTTCGCCCAAGACCTCTCCCTCCACATGCGCGGCCGCCCCGGCGAAGTAGAACAAACCTGGAAAACGCTGCTCCCCCTCTGCCTCTCCTACTCGCGCAGCACAAAAGACCTCCAGCACCTCGACGGTCTCCGCTCTTACCTCAGCTCCGTAATCGCCGCCGCAATCTGCACACACGTCTCCCAGCGCTGCAACAACCCAAAGACGCACGACTCGCCGCAAGATGGTATGGGTCATAATAGTGGTACCACGGCCGAAGCGTCCCGCCAGCACAACTCTCTCGCAGAAAACTTCGCCCTCCTGTCTGACCACACGCTTAAAATGCATCGCCACTACCAAGACGCGCGTATCGCGCTGCCGATTGAGGATCTGCAATCTACGTACAAGAAGACGTATGCAGCAAGGGAGTCGAATGCGAGACTAGCCCGCGAACCGGAGAAACTGAGCGGCGCGAAGATGTCGGGGCCGTACTTTTTGCCGCTGGGCGCTGATACCACGCCCATCCAAGCTGTGAGGTTTGGACTGAGGTTTCTGGCAGAGTATTGCGAGATTGAGGGGCTGAAGTATGGGTTGAGGGTTTGTCTTGAGAGGCCTGAGTAGAGGCACACCCATTCCTTGTTGGCGTTTTTATCATTGCACTTGTTTACTTTAGCGGGTGGCTTTTCATTTGGTTGATTTGAAAGCAAATTCTGATACCCCATGAGGTTGGACTGGACTTTGGTTCCTCCCTTCTTCCTTCTTGTTACTGGATTGGGATTCTGTATACATAATGGGGGCAGGCACTGTAGAACTTTGGACACAGTATAGCGGCTGTTGGGAGTTACTGGAGTTGATAACGAGGAGCTGAGGGTCTGAGATGAGGAAAAAAGTATTGATGAATAGCAATTGAAAGTAATGATCTTGATCTTTGTGTGTTGGTGTGTGTGATGTGAGATGTGGGATGGCTAGTTTTAGAGGGAGTTGGTAATCGTGTATGGGGAAAGTATAGCCAGAAGATGAGTGTCGGTTTTTAGCCTGTGATGCGCCGAAATCTGGCATGTAGCATACCCCCAGACTGAAATTCAGTGTTTACAAACAAGGACTCGATTGAAAATTGAGCATCATCGTCATTGCTTCCTACCAAAAGACCAGATACGGAATACGAACGCCTTCGAACTCCACATTATCCCATCAAATCATCATACTAGGTCCATAAGTCCACGACTTGTACACCATCTCAAGAGTGGAAAACCTTCTCCAACCTCTCCAGCAAAAGATCCGCGTGGTGCTTCTGGAAAATCAACATGGGCCTCAACCGCACTGCCCTCTCTCCAGACCCCCCAATATTAACTCCCTCACCCTTGGCCTTCCTGAGCACCTCATCCCTCCTCACACTATCAAACGCAATAAACGTTCCCTGTCCTTTACCCCTCAGATTCTGAATCTCCTGCGGGAACCTCTCGCTCAACCTCTGCAAGCCCGCAAAAAGATAATCCCCCGTCACCGCCGTACTGTTAACAAGATCCATCCGCTTGATTTCCTGAATGATAGACCGGAAAAGAATCGCCCTCGCCGGATCCCCCATCCAAGTATTAAACTGACGATACGGTTTATTCGGCCTAAGCGCATTATCCCCAAAGTAATACCCCGCCGTCTGCGCTTTCTTGCTGAAAGTAACCATATCAGGCGGCGCGTCCAACCCCCAGTGTTCATGCGCCCAGAACTTGCCGGTCGCGCCGACGCCCGTTTGCACTTCGTCGACGATGAGGAGGACGTTGTGTTTCTTGGTGAGGGCGCGCAGGCCGCGGAAGAAAAAGGGCGTGGCGTGGTTGTCGCCGCCTTCGGATTGGATGGGCTCGATTACCACGGCTGCGGGTGGGGAGTGGTAGTTTAGGAGGATGGATTCGGTTTCGTCGAGGCAGCGTTGCTCTTCTGCTGCGTTTTCGGCTTCGTGTTCATGGAGGGGGTATTTTAGCACTGGGAACGGGGCTTGCGGCCAGTCGAAGGCGGGGATGTCGAGCTTGTGGATGGGTTTGGAGCGCGTGGTTGATAGACTGCCGAAGAGGCGGCCGTGGAAACCGGTTTTGAAGGAGAGGATCGA